TTGAACTTTTGTTGAAAAAGTTCCAAACAAGAGCGTCAAAGGTTACTACTTAAGTTGCCGTAATTCTACAGTATCCCTACAAGAAATGAACCGTCGGTCAATCACAAAAAAAGCCCTTAGTTTGACTGAGCTTTGGAATGGTGTCCAGCGTTTGTGTTGTGGGTGTGTTAGTTTTTGGTCAAGTCCGTCTGTGTTTGTTTGAGTAGTTTTTTCTGTGTTACTGCGTTTGGTTGTGTGTATTCGCCGTGGTTGCACTTTGGCCCACTTGCCACGGCGCTGTTCTACCTAGAAATTTCTTCTGTGAAACTTTCGCTTTCCAAAATGGAAGTGAATTGTTTATAGTCCGAGGATGTCGACCAAATTGAAGTGGAAGAAATCCATGAAGTGGATGTACAGCAGCGCCAGGTTGCGGAATCCGAACCACAAGAACCCGTCGAACCTACGGGTCCGCCAATGATGGTACAGAGACCATCGGAACCCCCAGAACCCGCGGGCGATCTTATGGAGCAGGTCTTTGCCGGGGTACCCCAAATGGCCCAGATGGCTCCAGTAAATGTGGTTGTGGAACCGCCAACGCCAGTGATGTTGGAAAGGGAGCCGGAACTTCCAGAGACGGAACTGGGAGTTGAACGTAAAAATACACGCGGAAGCGCTCGGGAAGCTGTGGAAAATATGCCGGATGTATGTGAATCTCTTGGTTTTTATTTTGTTATGTTTGGTGGTGGAAGAATTAAGTTTTTAGTTTTTATTTTAAGTTGCATCTTTTGTTAATTTTCGTTGTGAATTTAGTATATCCATGTCGCACTGCATTGCTCTAACACACAGCAGTTAGTATGCTTTTGAAGCTCAGACGTAGAAAAAAGTGTTGTTCTGAAATTGCACTATACACTTGCTGCTAATCGGCTTGTAGCAACCCCCAAAATTGCTCGGCTAATCACTCTAAATGCACTAATAGAGCGCACCATCTAAGAAGTGTCTGGTGAAGAGAAAAAATCTGTAAATTTGCGTTTTCTTATTATAGTATGTACCTGCATACCAGACACAACGTCATGATACACCGCCAACGTCACAATTTTCTCCACCAAGCAATGGAAGCAGTCTGAATGGTTATCAGAATTCGACTGAAAGTGGTGGGTTATTACAGAATTATTTATGAAGCTTTTCCAAAA